AGAACTTTCAATAATGTTAAAATCAGACCAACACCAACCTCTTTCGGCTCTTCTGCGACGCTTGTATTTTTTCGCTTCGAGCGCGATCTCCACGAGCTGCTGAAAATGTTTCTTGTACTCAATGTAATGCCCTCTCTTGTAGCTCAAAGTATGAGCAGAAATGACAGCTTTATGAATGGAAAATCTTGATAACGAGACAATTACAAAAGCAAAAAGGGCGCTATTTATCAGTATTTTCATTTACCTCAGAAACTTTGGAGGCGAAAATTGTTCAGGCTTGCTGCTACGCATAGGATAGCCATCTGAAAAATTTGAAAGTCTTGATGAAAAGAAATTCTGATATAACGAAACCTACCAAGAACGAAAGTGTTTGCACCTGGATTTTGATTATCCTGAAAAGAAGCATCAATAACAGTGTTGGGGAAAAAATAAGTCAGAAAAAACTTGAAAAATAATTGGAAAGGAAGGAATTGCTTATCTAACAATAACATAGAAAAAACATGTAGATTAGTTGAAAGTTTGCTTACTAGAAGGGAGACACAAACGAAAAACCCTATCTTTTTTGTTACTACCCTTCAAGCAAAATAGACCTAAAATTCAAAAAGAACTCTTTGACAAAAGGGTTAATTCACAGAGTTCCAAAAGGATAGCTTAATGAATACAGATGCAAATAGCCAAAATCTCAAAGCAAACAAAAATTGTGATTTATTCGGTAGAATTACAAAAAAGCAAGAAAGCAAAGCCATAAGCGTGCATATGTAGAAGTTGTAGATAGGTGCAAAAAGAGACATCATTTTTGCTCTAATTGCAAGAAATACATTAGCTACAAATATTTCTAAGACAAGATGATTGTTGTTGTCGATATATCGCAGAAACGCAGCATGCAGAAATTCAAAATCATACGGAGGCAGGAATGAGTCAGAATCAAAACAATGGAAGATATTCGAACGATTTTCGAAACAAAATCATACAGGAAATAATTGCCACATGAGAAGACTTGGAAACACATCAAAAATCCATAATTAAACAGATAATTTTTCAAAAAATTACCTCGCTGATCATTGGCGCTCCAGGTTCCTCCATTTCCCATTGCAGTTTTCACTTCGTAGTCGGCTAACTGAACTGAAAAGTTTGAGATAAAATCGTCTTAAAGAATCGGAACATTGGCCAAAAATGTTTTATCTAATAAAATCAAATGCAACGTAATTAATACAAAAGTGAAACGACAAAACGGCCTGCCGCTGCGCCCGCGTCGCTTGTTGCAAGGGCGCGCTAATCTCTCACCCATTGATATATCAAGAAAGCAAGGTACACTATAGTGTAGCTTGTTTCTACATAACTAAAGCTTTTTTGAAACTCCGTCTTAGGCTGCCTTCCAAACCTCCAACACCTCTCCCCTCTAGTCCCTCTCCATACATAATGGGTACAGAAGGGAGCGCGGTCATAATTGCTAGCCAGATGCTTTGTATATAGCAACTGCAGATGAGAACAAAAGTCCTACAGCGATTGTGTCTCCCCAAGTGGCAGAAATTCTTCCTATTCGAATTTAGCCTAAAGGACTTCGAAGTTTTTAATGTTTTCCACACGCTTTGACATGTCTTACCGGGCTCAGCGAAACAAAGTAAGAAAGTTCATGTCTGAGTTTCTGCTTGGGCATAGCCTTGGCAAGTTACAATAGCTAATGAACATCCTTACCGCTTTCCAGACCAACAACAGATCCTGCAAGTCAATGGGAAGAAGTTCTTCAGGCGAGATGAGCGCGATATTTTCAGCATGTCAGATAAGTTCTCTGCGCATTATCCCGGACAGATATCGTTTGTCCCCAGCAAGGTTCCCATAGATTCCACGTCATCTCGCTG